TTAGGCATGTAGACATGGCCAAGACGATCTGCTACAGTTCAAACTGAGCATCAGAATGGGGAAGAAAGGTGATTTAAGTGACTTTGAATGTGGCATGGTTGTTGGTGCCAGGTGGGTTGGTCTGAGTATTTCAGAAACTGATGATCTACTGGGATTTTCACACACAACCATCTCTAGGTTTTACAGAGAATGGTCCGAAAAAGAAAAAAACATCCAGTTAGCGGCAGTTCTGTGGGCACAAATGGCTTGTTGATGCCAGAGGTCAGAGGAGAATGGCCAGACTGGTTGGAGCTGATAAAATGACAAAAATAACTCAAATGGCCACTTGTTACAACTGAGGTATTCAGAAGAGCATCTCTGAATACAGAACACATCCGACCTTGAGGATGGGCTACAACAGCAGAAGAGCACACCAGGTGCCACTCCTKTCAGCTAAGAACAAGAAACTGAGGCTACCATTCACACAGACTCACCAAAACTGGACAATAGAAGATTGGAAAACGTTGCCTGGTCTGATGAGTCTTGATTTCTGCTGCAACATTCAGATGGTAGGGTCAGAATTTGGTATCAACAACCTGAAAGTATGGATCCATCCTGCCTTGTATCAATGGTTCAGGCTGGTGGTGTGGTGCAGTGGTCTGGGGGATATTTTCCTGGCACACTTTGGACCCATTAGTACCAATTGAGCATTGCATCAACACCACAGCCTACCTGAGTATTGTTGCTGACCATGTCCATCCCTTTATGACTACAGTGAACCATCTTCTGATGGGTACTTCCAGCAGGATAACGCTCCTTGTTACGACTGGTTTCTTGAGCACAACAATGAGTTCTCTGAACTTGAATGGCCTCCACAGTCACCAGATCTCAATCAACTAGAGCACCTTTAGAATGTCGTGGAACAGGAGATTTGCATCGTAGATATACAGCCGACAAATCTGCAGCAACTGTGTGATGCTATCATGCCAATATGGACCAAACTTTCTGAGGAATGTCTCCAGTACTTTGTTGAATCTATGACACGAAGGATTAAGGCAGTTCTGAAGGCAAAAATGGGGTCCAACCCGGTTCTAGCAAGATGTACTTAATAAAGTGGCCGGTGAGTGTATATAGGTAGGTAGGTAGGTAGGTAGATATATAGGTAGGTAGGTAGATAGGTAGATAGATATGTATGTATGTAGGTAGGTAGGTATGTAGGTAGATATGTAGGTAGGTTGGTAGATATGCAGGTAGGTAGGTAGATAGGTAGATATGCAGGTAGGTAGGTAGATATGTAGGTAAGTAGGTTGGTTGGTAGGTATGTAGGTAGGTAGGCAGGTATTTAGGTAGGTAGATATGTAGGTAGGTAGGTAGGTAGATATGTAGGTAGGTAGGTAGGTTGGTAGATATGCAGGTAGGTAGGTAGGTAGGTAGATATGCAGGTAGGTAGGTAGATATGTAGGTAGGTAGGTTGGTTGGTAGGTATGTAGGTAGGTAGGCAGGTATTTAGGTAGGTAGATATTTAGGTAGGTAGGTAGGTAGGTAGACATGTAGGTACGTAGGTAGGTAGGTAGATATTTAGATACAGTGGGGAAAATAAGTATTTAGTCAGTCACCAATTGTGCAAGTTCCCACTTAAAAAGATGAGAGAGGCCTGTAATTGACATCATAGGTAGACCTCAACTATGAGAGACAAAATGTGAAAAAAAATTTGAGAAAATCATTTTGTCTGACTTTTAAAGAATTTTTTTGCAAATAATGGTGGAAAATAAGTATTTGGTCAATAACAAAAGTTCATCTCAATACTTTGTTGTATATCC